GAGGCAGGAGAATGGTGTGAACCCAGGAGGCAGAGCTTGTAGTGAGCTGAGATTGAGCCACTGCGCTCCAGCCTGGGGGACACAGGAGACTCAAAAAAAAAAAAAAAAAAAATTCCCAGAGCCTCCTTCAGGGTCACTCTATTCTCTTTACCTTTGGATTTCTTCATGGACTTCTCACCTGATACATATTTGTTGATCACCCCCCACCCCCACCCCACCCGTAGTAGTCCCATGAGAGCAGAGACTTTGTTTCGCTCGCTGCTGTACCCACAGGAGCGCCCCCACAGCCTGGTGACAGGAGCCCTCAGATCCTTGCTGAGCCAAAGAGCGCGTGAGTGAGTTCACTGTTCTGGAGTGATGTGTGAACAGACATGTTTAACAAGTCACTTACTTGTTATAAACTGGAACCACCGACAAAACCTGCATAGGAAAAAGTCATATTATAGAGAAGATTACATGGTAGAAGAAATACACAAAGAATATCTACGGAGGGCCAGGTGCAGTGGCTCAGGCCTGTAATCCCAGCACTTTGGGAAGCTGATGTGGGAGGACTGTTCAAGCCCAGGAGTTCAAGACCAGCCGGGGCAACATAGAGAGACCCTGTCTCTACTAAAAAAGAAAAAAAAACGATGTCTGGAGAAAGAACATAACCACTCTTTAGTGTATCTCGCGGTGATAGTTATAGACTATTTTTTTGAGACAGAGTCTTGCTGTTTCACCCAGGCTAGAGTGCAGTGGCATGATCTTGGCTCATTGCAATATCAAGGGTACAGGCTAAAAAAGGACATTAACTTAGTGAATTGTCAGTGGAACAAGGAACAGCATCGGAGATAGTGGAAATTCCTCGGGAAGATAAAAGAAAACCAAAAGTATTCAGAGTTTATTTCTAAGGAGCTCCTAACGGGTGAAGGCTGTCCACAGCTACCTGACTGAGTTAGGAGGAACACCTCACTGCCAGCATATTTCAAATGTAGGAGTCAAGAGGTCAGCCAGTCAAAGTGTTTTTCCTCCTAGTTTGACAACACTATGGCAGGCCAAGTGTGAATTTAAAATTCCCAGAGCTGGCCGGGCATGGTGGCTCATGCCTGTAATCCTAGCACTTTGTGGAGGCCGAGGCAGGCAGATAATGAGGTCAGGAGATTGAGACCATCCTGGCTAACACGGTGAAACCCTGTCTCTACTAAAAAAATACAAAAAATTAGCCGGGCGTGGTGGCGGGCATCTGCACTCCCAGCTACTCGGGAGGCCGAGGCAGGAGAATGGTGTGAACCCAGGAGGCAGAGCTTGTAGTGAGCTGAGATTGAGCCACTGCGCTCCAGCCTGGGGGACACAGGAGACTCAAA